CGGTAAATATGTCAATTCTCCACTAAAAAATATGATTTTTGGATCGTTAGAAAGCGTTTAAACAGGGGAATATTTGTGTGTAACGTTAGGACACAAAGACCGGTTATAACCGGTCCTAACCGGTTTTTGTTTGGTCTTGAATATTTTGGGATGACACCTAACCACTAGAGGCTGACACTTAGCAGCGGCAGCAGGCACCTTGCTTGCTGACAAATACACTGCTTTGCACCAATGCGAAGCGACTTTTTTTTCATAACGAAGGAAACAGTGTTCAAGAGCTAGTTACATGGAAATACATATTTAAACATTGGAAAGAGGACGACGGTATCATGGTTCTGAGTGTTGAACGTTAAATCGTTCAACGGTTTGAATTGACGAAAGTCAGACCGATCGATGATGTCATATACCCTGGCTTTGCTGTATCTCACCATTATGCCACAATTTTCTCCATATCCGCAATCTGACATGTTAAGGGACTTTGGTATTACTGAAGAACAACCGGTTTTCGATTACAACGTTAGAGAGATAGAAGCATCTCAAGCATCTCATGACCCGGTCGGTTGTTGTTCAGGATTGAAACCCATGACGTTGATATGTTCAACAGCCATTCGTACGCTTTGTCAAGTGTATCTTTTACGGTACAGACTGTACCAAACCGTTCTTGGTCAAGGTGCCATACCATGTTGGGATGCATAACCAGCAAACTGTTTCTTCTCTTGACACAAGCTACTGGTTACCACAAGGCGCCAGCGGTGCGATGGTAGTCTTTACTCCCAAAGTCTACGAGATATGCTCCCCCCCCCAAGAAGATTCTGAAGGAGAGTCCGTGTCTTCTCAGGATGAAGCTAATGTTGAACGTCTTTATTCAATCATTTATTCACCACAAGTTAGTGTCGTTGTCCTTATACTTTGCACTTTCTAAAAGGAAAATAGCCCCGAGAGGGTGTTCCCCATGGATTGAGGGTCAACCAGCTCGTTCACAGTTTCGAGGAGGATTTAGCAGATGATTGTCTGGGTAATATGCTGATCGCGTCGCGTCGATTCAACGATTCTCTTTGGGACACCAGTGAAAACGATATATCCAGAGCCAATGTTGTTCTGATAAGGTTTTTTTTTTTCCCCGGCGAAGCAAATTTTTCTAATGGCTTAACGTATGCTACGATAGTGCTGTGGACAGTGATGAATTTGTCGAACTTGATTGGCAGACAGTACTAGGAGAAGTAGATATATCGTAGAATAATTTTGAGTTAGCTTCGACATCGATGTGTATGCCATCAATATTGGTTAATGATCTTGAATTCCGGTTGTTGGATGTATGGTACCACAGTTAGATCTCCAAACCTGATTCTTAAAGTAAACAATAGCTCACTTTAAATGTAGCTGGCTGGTAAGTATCTTGCGTAAAATTGAGGAGTATTCTGACGATCAATGAACCGTATCGAAAGGGTTGTCGAATCAGTTACCCATGGTAGTTCTGGCAGACTGACTTTACGACCTCCTACTTGGATGATGTTTATCGAACGTAGACGCGGGAAATGTATTTTGTTCAGCATCGGTTGCAAATATTGCCAATCGAGATGTTTGCCATCGTCTGCCTCCATCACGAGGAATAGCTTTTCAAGTCTCCAACCACCAGCTGTTCGCCACCCGTCGAAGCCCTTGCTGACTTCGCTGAAGTCGCCGTGTTGCAGACGAGGACACGCACGCTGGTCACCAACGTGGTCTTGCATATATTTTGCAGTCGGCGCATGGCTGTTAACAATTAATACCGCTGCTGACATAGGACGGAGTGCCATACCAGAGACGGCAAGGATTTCGATGTTTGGTTTCCAATAATGTAGGAAGCCCGGTATCATCATTGCTGAATCATGATCGTGCACTACACGGAGGGCAGAGAAATCCATTATGGGACTTGCGTCGTTCCATTTCGCCTTGAATAGACGAAAAACGTGAACATGTCATTCCGCGCAAGATAGAATATGGTTGGTTTTGGGATGGACCGTCTGACGTTCCTCTCGACTCCAGAACGAGGAGTGAAGAGTATGTGAAGGTTGTAAAGCTTTAGACGCACAACGTTGTGACAGTGCGCAAAGGTGATGACTGGAAAGAACCGGAATTGAGAGAGTGCGACGGTTGTGAGGTCTGGCAATGAAAATATGCGAATGAACTCTGACCGCAATTCTTCTGGGATGGCGTTCCAGTTAGTGTTTAAAGGTTCAGTTCAGTCCGGTTTTTTGCCCCGAAAACGCGCAGCCGTGGACCGCAACCGGTCCAGGACCGACCCAGATATTGAGGGAACCGAACCGAACCACCTAGGACCGGTCTTTTGCGGTCCATGATACCGGTTCAGACCGATCCAGACCGGTTTTTTTACATATAATTTATTATACCAATATAAACCATTTGTATCTCAACCATTATTACTCTGAAAAATAAACGGGTTATATAAAATAGTAAAGCATATAAATACCCGTCATTCTACCAATTTTCAAGAGATTTAATGAAGATTTGACATAGCTATGACTGAAACCGAATTATATCTCATAGAGACTCGGGTAAAATATGGATTTGGTTATATCTTTCTCAATTCTTAACCGTTTTTGATGAAACAAAAACCCAATAAAAGGCAATAAACGTGGTTACAAGGCTATGTAACGCACGTGACCGTTTAACCGGTTGCAACCGATTAAAACCGGTCTTTGAACGGTTTTAAAAGATTTTCGAAATGAGGCAACCGGCAACCGGACCAACCCCAAATTGGGGCAACTGCAACCGAAAAAAAGACCGGACCATGATCCGGTTCAGTTCGGTCCACCGGTTTTTTGCGGTCCTATGGACTGAACCTTTAAACACTAGTTCCAGTTCCTTCTGGGATATTCTCCTGTGAGATCGATACTCTTTAGCAGATAAAATCGTTTCATCAGACCCGTTTGTATGTCCCAGTCAGAGTAATGCAGCTGATAATGAAGGTGGTGAACATATTCGGTGATGTGTGGACTGGCATGTAAAAGATTGTAGAGGCATAGAATTGTGGGCCCCGCCACCAAAATTGTCGCGAAAAGACGTCTTCGCGATGGTCGAACCAACGTTTGACATGTTTGGGACATCGAAGATAGTGTTTTCCAATCTTCAGCAAGCAACAGTTGGTCCACGACGTTTTCTTGTAAGACGTCCATTGGGATGTCGACTCGCATTCTTCTTTCCAATTGTTTGTCAGTTCGGTATGGTAGTAGACTATCTGACTTACTTGTGAACAACTCTTTCCGAAGGTGTCAGAACGGTCTAACGAGTGTCCAATACGATGACAAATCAAAGTACTATTTTTCCAAGTCTATCGATGCGTGCACTCTTTTGTGGTTGTTGTGTACGACGTTGTTAGGTCAATCAATAGAAAAAATACAAAGGAGCGGTACAAATGAATCTTAATAATAGTGCTACATCAAGGGCAAATAAGCTATCAAGAACGTCAATCAAACTCCGGTCCTTCCTTTTTTTGCGTTGCTGCCGTCCTCGTCCCCAGGACCAGCCTTACGCTTACCATCGTTCACCATCGTATGACCCGAGCGCAGATTGGAAGGTCCCGCCGCTGCATTCTGTGGAAGAGCCGATTGCTGGGTAGGTCCAGATGGTGAGGGGGTTTTCGGTGTCTGTGGAGTTGTGAACTCCGAATATGGCTCAGAACTTGCGGTAGAAGAGCCATCAGAACGGCGCGGAGGAGTATTTGGAGGCCAAGGTGTGAACTGGTCGTTAGGGCCTCTGATAGGAAGAGGGCTCTGGAGAGGAGATACCGGAGCTTGTTCTGCAATAGGAATTCTTTCCGTTCCTGCACATAAAGAGGTTATTTGTTAGTTGGTGTAACTGACGTTGAACGCGTACCAACTGCGCCCTTCGATGCGATTGCTTGGATTGTGGGGGTGGCTACGCCCAGCGTTGGGTTCAGTTGAACTGGGGCAGAGCCTGTCGGGACAGGAGGATAAAACACGGATACGGCAGCAACTTGTTCGCTCCTCGTTGGGCCGGTAGTTGGCAAACGTACTGGGCCAGCACCACGTCGATAGGGGCTGGGTTGTTTGGGTGGTGCACGCTTCAATACGATGATCTGCTCGATGGCCGCGGAGAAGGTGTCATAATTTTTGTCTTGGATGTAGTAGTGTTTTAGACGGAATGTGAGCTCAACTAAAGCCCCTTTGATCGTTTCTGTGACATTCATAGGTAGCACGGCCGCTTCGGTTTCGTCGTAGACCATCAACGGTAACACTTTATGAGTCTGAACCAAGTCCGCGAGGGCTTCCCGCTCATTCGCGCGAACTGGCCAAGCATTGGTATCCAATTCCGATCCCGGCGCTATAGTTTTTCAAGTCAGTAAGTTGTAGTCAGTAACTGAAGGTTGACGTACGATCGAAAGCGGGATCCTGGGGATAATTGGGGTGTATTAGAGAAGCGAGTCGTCACTTGATGTATGACCGCTTACCTTCAGCGTAAAGATTGGCGCAGTGAAACGAAGGGAAGAGTTGACCCCTTCGGCCAGCACAAAGAACTTGTGATCTTGAGAAGTTGCGATGAGGCCTTGTAAAGTCGTGATGGCCGTGATGGACCTATCCCAGTCACTTCTGAAGTCGACGTCGCTGGGTTTCACAAGAGTTAGCCCAAACTTGGAGGATGCAAGTGTGTTATAGGCTCCATGGTTACCCCAGGGTTCGACTGCTAAGCGACTATCGGAGACTTCGCCGACAACGACGCATACTGTCTCTTTAATGTCGCTTCCGGCAGCGGGATGGGAGTCGACGAGCTTGTGTCCACTGCCATAGCTGCCCCATCCTACAGTGGATGTCCAACCCGGACTGGCAGTATACTGACGCGTTCGGAGGAGCCTGTTACGAGTTGCTGGTCCACTGTACACCATAATTGCTTTGACGTATCAGACATGGTTTATAGCATGGAGAGTGATGTAAGTACTCACCAAGTCGATGTGGTCAACACAAAAGAGAGTTGCGAGAATTGTAAGGCTAAAATCGAGGTCAGACTGTCGCTTATATAGATTTTTCTCTCTACCCACGAGGGAAAAAAAAAAAAAAAGAGGGTGATAGTTTCTCGATCCGTTGAAAATTTTACTTGCCTTCTACCGCGATCTGTCCGACGGCCGTGGGCGTGATGACAGGGAGTCATCTGCGAAGACCGCATTGTCGAAGAAATAGGAGATCTGTTTAAATTTCATTCAAGAAGTGTTATGAATGTAGTTTACGAATTCTAAGGCGAAAAAGACAAAAGGGCTATGGGAAGCGAGCAGCAGTCTCGACAGCTAACATTGCGAATCTCATGTCCGCTACTCTCAGTTTATCAGACGGATGATTGGTGAAGAGTGCATCATCGAAGCCACGTAGAAGCCTTATACTGGACCTGCCTTTCCCTCTTGATAAAGCGACATACGCGTTGAACGGATCCAGTTTCCCTCCTGGCGGGTTTGCTATATCGAGGTAAAGAAAGGGAATTGTTTGGCCTTGGGACTTGTAGTCTGTGAATGCGTATGCAGGAGTAATGGAAACCTGTCTTCTGGTCACGGAGACCTTCTGCCCAGCTTGGTCGAAGAACTTGAAACCTTTTTCGGATGGGGAAATGGGAAGCAGTCCCAACTTCAGTCCTTCGAAGTGATGCGTAACTTGGATATCTGGGCGAAACAGTATCACAGCGGGAGGGTAATCCAAATGAATGGCACCGTCCTCGTCAGGTTCCTTTAACATCTCCCTTGGATCGAGAACGATATCCTCAATGGTGCCACGGGTCCCGTTCGCCAAATCTCTTTCGGTTGACAAGTTCAATGTCACCATGACACGCATGCCGATTGCTACTTTCACTTGATCAGATAGGTTGCCTGTGTGTTTCGATTTCATTCCTGCGACGAGGACTCGGTGAGGTAATGTCAAGGGAGAGTGTGATCGGCCAATTGTGTCTTCCGCGGACGAGATGAAGAGCCTGTGGCCAGACATGACACAATGCCTTGCGATAGCTGCGTCGTTCCACGCCTCGCGAACGGAATGACGAGATGTTACCAGTACAGAGTTCAGCAACGGTACAGACTGTGCACCGTCTTCCGGTTTAATGATCAGCTTTTTCACTTCCTTTAGATCTTCCTCAGTGCATTCCCCTTCCCTTAACCTGTCCAATACGCCTTTCCACACCAAATCAGTTACCCTTTTCTGCTCCGTTAGAATGATGACGGTCTTGAATTGGTTGAAGATTTCTAGACCAACGGCTGAACGGACACTTTGTTTATCCCAGATGGTCGGGTCATATAGAGCTCCTGTCTTCTGTATGGGTGGAAATTGGTGGAAGTCCCCGAACAGGATCACGTTCATACCACCAAATGGCAAAGCTGGGTCTCCTTGACCGTGAGTGTGGCGAACATGGCTTACGACTTCGGATAAGCAGGCCAAATGGACTTTGGTCAGCATGGAGCACTCATCCACTATCAAAGTTCTCCTGTTGGCGATGTTTCTGTTTCTTTTTGCGACCGTTACTTTTGGAGCTGAAGAAAGCCAATCGCCTAAAGGAGGTGTTTTGATGCCCATTCCTGCAAAGGAATATGTAGTTTGTCCGCCAATGAGGCTCGCAGCAACACCAGAAGTTGCTGTCTTAGATAGCATGTGCGAGGCGTTATGTTCAGCAAAAGTCTCCGAAATAGCATTGATTACAACAGACTTTCCAGTACCGCCTTGGCCGAGCACCAGCATCAGCAGTTGCTTAGTGTTCTCGCCGTTCAAATGGGCTAGCAGATCCTGTTCGACGATGTCATGAGCACGTCTCTGATCTGCGTTGAGAAGAGCAAGGTTCGGTCTATTTGAAGGTTCAAGACACATTCGTGGAAGCTGTATCACCGTTGATTCTACAACAGGCGGAGCTGACCGAGGGAGAGAAGGAAGAATAGTTTCTCCCGCGATCCCGTTTCCAAGTGGGAGTGATTCATCTTCAATGATGGTCCTTAACTGTCTTGACCAATCCATGAATAGCGTCATATCATCCATTGTCGCCTTCCTAGGGTTTTCACGATAATCTGTCGATTGCTGTTCCCCGTTGAAGATTCCGGCCGCATGCGCGATAGCTAGCGCATCTGAACCGAAAGCTTGGAGGTCTCTGCTGAATCTACTCTCTCTTGCATGTTCGACATCCCATTCAGATAACGGACGTGGTGCGGGGTTTTCTAATTGCTGTTCAGCTAGCTCCGCTGCCTGTTGCCGAACGGTGAGCAAGCCACCATCATAAGGTTGGTTTGACCGGTTTTTGGCGCCATCTGAACACTCGTGGAAGTACTGGATGTTGACCACAATATTTTTCGCTTTTTGTGACGCAGTCGACATAAATGTATCGAAGCTTTGTGACCAGTTGCGGCCGTCCAGCAAGAGATCGGTTTCCAACCTTCTCCATGGCTTCAATAGCAGCAAGATACTTGCGCAATATAGGTCGCGGTCGTCGTCACGGTTGTTTCTTGGGAACCATCTTCCCACAAAATCGGGCATTGTCTCATGTCCTTTTCCCCGCATGATACGACATCGACTACCTTTTCCAGAACCGTCTTTGTAAGGAAACCTGTCGTGAGCTGTCCGGCCTCTTCTTGTGCGGCTTTCGCCGTCATTCATTTCGCGGACGGGATCACCTTCGTAGGTGTCCAGGTTGTAATCAAGAAAGTTGTATAGCTCCAAGCCATCACCCCTGAATGTGTAATCTTTCAATTGATCACGGAGTGTCAGAACACCGTCTTGGATTTCGACCTGCACGGTATCATCCTGCAATAAAGTTTGTTGGATTGCGTGACTTGACAGTGCTACTTAAATATACACACCATAGCAGGTTCACTTCCACCGTTGTCAATTTCCGTGGTTGCTGCGGGGTTTGGCTGAGATGGTGTGGAACTTGTTGATTCCTCGACAAGGTGTAACTCGGTCGTTGTGTTGGGAAATGTAGTTGAGCGATGCCTGAGTGGTGGTCAGTGCGTGTCATGGCACGAAAGACCTGATTCTCACCTTCCTACACGTAGGGTGGGAAATATTCTCTTCAAAGCTGCTACAGCGCTGTCCCAGAAGATAGTCACAAAAGTGTGTGATATATACCGATCCCCCCAACCCATAAGATAGCTGACGACCTCAGGTGCGCTGAACTCTTGATCACGGCTGATTGAATTAACACAACGTTCTAGTAGTCTTTTGCTTCGATTAATAGCATCCTGATCGGAACGTTCTTTGATATTATGGTAAGCTAGCCTTTTAGCAAGGATTGCTGATGTGTTCTTTGATCTCGATTGCTTCTTGGTGGTGTACGTGGTGATATACCATGTAATGTCTTTGCTCTCTGGAGCATTTGTGATCAGTTTCATATCGTGATTAGCTCGTAAGGACTGCAGGAGTGCGTGGTTCCAATTGTTGAGATATCCACAATAACGCTTTGGTCCCCAAGCGCCATTGGATTCAATCCATTCCCGACTTGACAGAGCGAACGGAGCCCGTCTTTTACAGAGAAGCCAATTGCCTATCATTCTCTTGCATGTGTCTAGGGTGCATGTATGATATTGGACCGCACGCGCAAGTCGTCGTTCACGGTCTCTGCATTTGTTTGCGTAGTCCGGTTCCTCAGGATCTAGAGGCCGAGAGTATGCAAGACTGCTTTCGACCGGCAATGCGAGGACCGAATTTGCATCCAACTCGTCGATATCAGCGCTTATGGTTGCCCGTATGAAGTCGCAGACTCTCTCGCGGAAGGTTTCGCTGGTCAAAAGCGATTTCATTTGTTGCGATGTCGGGGCACCAACCAACCACATGATAATATGGAGGTGAAGGGTACCCCTTCCCTGGGCTTCCACCGTGCCAATATAACTGTTCACTTTTCCTACTATGCCATCCTTTCTGGACACTTTCCGACCACGCTTGCTACCGGTGATGCCAAACAGTTCCTCCAAAACGGCCGCCACGAGGAAGTGGAAAAATCTTGCAGCTGCGTACGGATCCCTAGCAATGTTTGCACCACGCTCTTTCGAACTTGGACCAAGGGTAGCATCAAAATGGTCCATATTGATATCCACCCCGGCCATGACTTGTGCGATTGGATCCTGTGTATCGCTTGGGTTTATTGTGATCCATAAACTAGGTGGACTCTGCATTACGGTGGTTCCCCATATTTTCGATCTGATGTTTTTTCTTGACTCGTCAGTGCCTTGAACATGAGAACGGACTGCTGTCAGTTGGGTCCGAAGAGCTTGAACGGAAGGGTTCGAAAATGGGGCGCAGCGAGATTCTTCAGCGCTGGCTGCGATGAGATCCGATGGTTTCAACATTCGGATTGCAGCTTCGTTTGCGCGGAAGGTTGAGCGCTTCATTTGCAGGGTAGCGGATCTGCACACCATCCGTTTTTGTATGACGCCAAAGACTTGAAAGATGAACTGTATATCATATCTGAACCGTTTATCGTGGTATTGTAAAGTCCAGCGTGCATGAGCCTCGTAAGGCACGTCCTGGTCTCTACCGACTTCAAAACCACCTGCGCCATAAGGAAAAAGGACGGGGAAGGAGCCCAGGAGGTGATTTGGATTGCTGGGACCACCATCGGTCCTCATACCAGTGTTCTTATCTTTGCGAGCATATTCGTTGACGAAAGCGCTGGAACGTCGCACTGCAAATCTAGGAATATTTGTTGCAAGGTCGGAGGTGTTTGCTAATGCATGCGCTAGCACATCATTTTCCGTAACGCCTGAGCCAGAAATGTCTATCATTCCTGTGGCTTGAAGAGGGATTACCGCCGGTTGACGTTCTATTGATTGATATATCAGTGGAACATAGATGACAGCGACTTGACAATCACCTTCTTCACGATATATGGCATCTTGCATCTCGACGTCGTCCAAATTGACGAGACCTGCACAAGATGTTAGAGAAGTTATTTGTTGGATGATGCCTAAAACGTACCTGAAGGGATTCCCGGAAGATAGTCTTTTTGTATGGATAAGTGTGGTTATTATTGGTGCGGTGGTTGACACTGACCTTCTATTGGCATTTCTTCTGTGTATGTTTCGCTAGCGTTTCTAGGATCCAGTGATTCTTCATACATTGTTAGGCTATACACATTGAAGGTAAAAAGCACAAGGCGAACCACGATGATCTTCACCGTCGACGGGTACATAGCCTTCATGTTCACGCGCCAACGAACCAGTATCGGTTGAATGTTTAGCACTGATAACTAGTTCTCTTGGTACACCATCTTCCGGAAGCTGTAAAAGGTTTTCAGCCGAGATAACAATCTCGCGATATAAGGGATTGTTTTCTTTCAACCATTCCAACGCGGCTTTCACCCGGCTTCTGCGAACATGGAACATGTGCGGCATTTGGCCTCTGGGTAAGTTGTCTGGGCCAACAAATGTCACGCCTATTATGGAGGATAAGATGGCTGCAGGAGGCGGAAGAACGACGCCGTCTATCATATGTTTGATTTCGTTCGTGTCTAGCCGATAGGTGGAAACGTTTCCCCTTAATCCACTCTGCGGATCTATCCCCCAATATCGAGATCGCCTGTCTTTCGGATAGAGCTTGACAATGTATGCCACAGGATAATACTTTGCAATGAGAAGCCGTTCCGGAAGAGTCAATACCTTGAGCACCCACGGTACCTCTCCAATCCACATATTATTGGCAAGGGATAAAAGGGGCGTTTTGTTTTGATGCAGTGCTCTGTCGCATTCAAGACACATCGTCACTTTCCCGTTTCGAACGGCCGAGGTCTCCAATAGCATATCTTCACTGAGTACATGCGCTTGATGGGGGCGAGAAGGATGGAGACGGTCGTGATTTGGTATGTCCTTCAACGACATGCTTTTGGAGTTTGTCAACGATACTTCTCTTGCACAAGCGGCGCAAACGACGGAGGCTAAAGCTTCATCACCTGTCCCCTTTATAAATCCAGAAATGCATTGTTTGACAACGTCTTCTGTTGGGGCGCGTAGAAAGTCATTGTCAGCATCGATGAGTGGTAAATCGTTTATGTTTTGTGAGGCAATTTCGCCCGCAGGTGATGATTCGCGCTCTACAGGGCTGGTACGAGTGGAAGCAGAAACATTGGGAATGTTTGGCGCAGGGGGATGCAGTGGGGAATCGCCGACATTGGGATCTGGTTCATCTGGAAGAAACAAAGGCTGTTGTTCCAGAAACGGGTTTGAATGTGTAGAAAAGTCATTGTCAGGATCGATGAGTGGTAAATCGTTTCTATTTTGTGAGCTATTTTCACCCGCAAGTGAGGAATCGTGCTCTACGTCGCTGGTAAGAGTGGAAAGGTGTGTTGGAGAAAGAATGGCATTGTCTTGTGTAGGGGGATGATGTGGGGACTCGCGGACGTTGGGAGCTCGTTCTTCTGGAAGAAACAACGGCTGTTGATCCGGAAACGGGTTTGAATGTGTAGGAATTTCGCCCACTTGAATTCTACGACGCCGTATGTTTAGAGGTTCGGTAGGGAAAGGCCGTTTTCTGGCAGGTTGCAGGAGCTGCAGTGCAACGCGAATGCTGTTTTGTTCCTCTGCGGAAAGGGCAGCGATATGAGACGTCAGAAGCGACCTGTTCCTTTTCACTGCACTTCGCAGAGGAAGTCGACTACAAGCCGATATCAACTGAGCCATGGTGTATAAACCCAAGTCTTCAGCAGCTGTCAGTTCGGTCCATGGCGACGGGTTGCTCTCCATATGAGTGAGTAGGAGGGAGGGGTACGAAGATATATAATGTCAATTTTTGAACAATTGTCCTATGTGAAATTTCGTATCCAATTTTAAATTTGGCGGCTGTATATTAAACTCTAAGTTATTAATGGCTTGTGGCCACAATTTCGGAACGGTTTGTCCGACGGATACCAGTATAGCCGGACACATTGTCTGCAGACATCACAGGTGTCGCATCTGTTGCCGGATTGAAACAAAACCACAGACTTGGCATCCCCAACCGTTGGATGAGGTTTCGCACTATACCATGAATAAGTACAGCGTTGGGACGACATCTTTTTACTCACAGACCTTCTGTGGATAATTTTTCTCGCTCGGACATATCTTTTGAGAGAGGTTGGTATGGTGGCTGCTGATGGATATGTTAACGACAAGCGTCGTAGAAGATGATTGACTCACATATTTTGGTAGAGCGAAGCGATGTGGGAGAAAGGAAAACCTTTTTTTTTTGTTTTTATCCCAACCTTTTTTCTATTATGTAATCGGGAAGCGAGATGACCGATTTCGATCTTCGACAGGTAGAAGTAATACGCTGAATGTGACAGTCAACTACATAGAAACAGTGTATCGTGAAGGAAACTCACCAGGCTTGTACTGGATTGGGCAGCAAATACAAAATTGGAGACGCGCCATGTCCGACCGGGCTTGTATGGTAAAGTTGAGGGGCTCAGCCTACAAAATAAAGAGCTTAAATGTGCCTTCAAACAAATAGAAGTTACTTAACCTACCTCCGGGTCTCATAGATCCCCAAATGTCTTGTCCACCTCCTCCTTAAATTAGCTTCGTGAACTATCTGGTCTTGTATACGACGAATATAACGCATCATCTGATATGGGAGCTTTAGCAGGCTGGACTAACGCCATCCTGATATCCAACCAGGGAACCCTGGGGTTGGGTTGGCTATGCTATGCATCCAGGTTCGCTGTATCCGTTCAGACCAATACGGGTCTACCGGCAACACATCACAGTTACAAAAGGACGATACGAAGTTGTAGGATTAAGAACAGGGTGCGTCATGAGGTCCGTGGTGTATCCCGAATATTATACGGATGCGAAGACCCTATTTGCCGGATGCACCCTGCGTGGCCGAGGAGGCGCTAGCCAGCCGCCAAGTAGCTAGATTGTTGATGGGTCAATAAGATAGTTCGCAACGGAGGCAAGAGACTCACAGTTCCCACGTTTCGACATTCTCGACGCTCAACGAGTTGTTGTAGCTTGGATATCCCATCAAAACGAAGGTTTCGGCGAACTTGGTCCCATTGGCTGATTTGTGGGCATCTTGAACAATATTTCGTTCGCATCGGTGATTGTTTAGCTACCTATGAACATATGAGACATTGAACAGATTCAAACATTTGAGTCCGTACATATGAGCGAGCTTTCGATCGTGAACTTTACTTCCGGCAAATACATCCGCGTCGTTTATTATGTACTATCTATCAATCCTTTACAGGAATAAAGAGACCTGGGTTGGAGGGAGAAAAGAAAAAATTCACAAACTGTTGAGGGACGTTATATACCCCATCATGTTTAGGGCCCGTCAGATAAGTCCTGCCTGACAGGCCCTAAAGAGTTCAGGGTATATATGTTGATTCTTCAAACCGTTAAACCTTCTTTCCCTTTTCTATGTACGTCACTACATACTTTCCACCGTAGTTATACACAATAGATGCTGTTGAAGACAGCTTGAAAATAAGCAGGTATGAAGACCAAACATCTGAATGAGACAGGTAACCGGCATAAGGTTTATTCGTAAGTAAGCTGATACTGCGTGATAGGTTTCTCTACCACAAATGACGGATGTGGTCCAAACCCCAAAAAAGAGGAGGGTCGCAGTAAGTCGAGTTCGTATTACCTTGGTTGATTGCAAGTCTAACCCCAGTCCGTAGAATGCTTCCGTTTTCATTGACATTGAGGCGGCGGTGGAGAATGAAGAGGCAGTGGAATCCGATGACGAAGACCTGGGTCGGTAAAATTTCACTCGTTCAAAATAAAAAAAACGGATTAACTTATTATTACATATAGAGGATCTCATTGACGACACTGATTCTATGGAGGATAATGGTGCACCAGACACCAAATTCGTTCGCGAATTCACTGGGCAAGACGACGATGTGGAAGGGAATTGGCGGGACTTCATCCAACGGGCTCAAGTACGAGGAACGGGTGTCCATGATGTTTCAGACTACGATGGCCCAAGAACAGAAGATTACGGTCTTTACGAGGTCGGATGCCAGGTGCGAACTTCACGTTACAGCAGTCTTTTTTATTGGTTGACATGTAGAACCAGCCAGGGACAGAGGAGACGACGGTGCTGCGAATACTCAAGAAATTTGTGCGTTCTGATGATGTCCGACCTTCGGTTCGAGCAGCACTGGCACTTAGGTCACATCCAGGCCGGGTGTTCATCGAAGCCGCATCTTACGAGGATGTGAATGAGACTGTATGCAGATTCGACAGTCTTAAAACAGGTTCTGTCAGGGCTTTAGAGGCGGATGAAGCACAGGCGTGTCTGCTTGGCGGATCAATTTACACGCCCTCCATCGGTACTTGGATCAGAGTCAGGAAAGGAACCTATCGAGGAGACGTCGGTTACGTTCGCCATGTCAATCCCAGATCACTGCACGCGGATATCGTGGTTGTTCCTCGGATCAACATGGATGCTGCTAGTAAACGGAAGCGCAGTGGGCGACCGCCGCGTCGACAATTTGATCCTTCAGCCGTCACGAAAATATGGGGAGTCAAAAGCGTGGAACAACGAAACGGAATCTCGCTTTTCCGCGACGACACCTACACTTCCGATGGCTATCATCTTTGGAATGACGTCGACTCCGAATTCATCATCCACACAACTTGTGTTCCATCAAGAACCGAATTAGACGACTTCGAAGGATGCACCGAAATTCCGTTTGCCATTTACAATGCCACGCGTCACCACATTGCAGCGAAGACAATCCAATCGGGTGACCGCATTTTGGTCGTAGATGGCGAGTGCAAAGGATTGGAGGGGGAAGTCTGCTCGATCCAAGATGGGGAGGCGGAAGTTTTCATACCTTCCCAGGATTTGTTTCACGTTCTGTGCTTGACAGAGCTTCGGCGAGAATTCAAAGTTGGTGACAATGCAAGGGTGACGTTTGGGCCTCATGCTGGAACGGTGGCATTCGTTCTCAATTCACTCAACGACGTGTTGACTCTCAACGTCCAAGAAACTTCAACGGAGGTAAGAGATTGCATTATTTCATGAACCTAGAAGAAGAAAAACTCAGTCGGGATTATAGATAGCAGTTCTCGTATCCAATGCTGAGTTTTTCCATGCTCCGATGACCTGTGTGGTACCGTCACCGAACGATCACGTGCCAAAAACGATGTGGAAAGAGTTCGAGGTGGTAGAAAGTGGCGTGCGTAAACGAGTAAGGGAGCTCGTGAGTATGAAGGACAACCCAAATTGGTGTTACGAAGGAAAGCGAGTTATTGTTCTGAGGAACAATTTCAAGGGTTACGTTGGCCGGATCGTGTCCACAAACATAGACGAGACTGCGTTGGTGGAACTCGATGCCACTTTGCGAAAGGAGCGGTTCAAATTGACGGAATTGTCTATTCTGTAAGTGCTTTATTAAGCGCATGGTGTCTACTGAATCAAAACACGTAGTGAGCAGGAGACACCCGTAAAGGCCATTCAACACGAAGAAAGAAGAACTGTGTCACGGATCCTCCCATGGAACGCGCCTTCAGAAAAATCAACGCCAGGAACTCCTATGCCGTCCATTCAGGACATACCCCCAAGCCCAGCATGGGATCCTGTATCGGAAGTTACAGAACATGACGAAGGTACGCGTACCTTTTGAAACATGCTTCCATAAGAACGTAATCACAGAATTTAGGATCAGCGTGTTATTGGCTAGCGGACGAGCGATTGGCAACAAGGAGAATTTGTCTCAAAGTCAGGGACTCAGTGCCACCCGAGTACACGGCATATCGAGACAGGACGCTTGAATTTTTGAGACATGAAGGTAACACCGCAGTGGTCAGGTTCCTTCGTGATAGCAAGAACATCCCAATGCAGTACTTGATACCCGTGCACCCTGATATGGAACGGCTGTTGGTAACACCAATGAGAGGAGAGTTAACGGGTAATGTCTACAGAGTCATATCATATGGACCAACGCACTGCAAAATCAGAGATATTTCTATAAAACCTGTACGAAAAAAGGACGATTTCAGCATGCCTACGGACGAACTTGTGCATGTATACAGTTAACGTATGACGACACGCTCTATACCACCGTGCTATTACCAATTTACTTGTAGCTAGACCCTGCGTTGAAACGGACAGAGGACGTTCAGACAGTCATTGCCCGCTCTCCAACGAAGATGGGCGGACTCGAATGGGTCGGTGTTGAGGATGTTCCTACCATCCAAGCCACCCCAACTATATACTCCAACACCTTCCAACCCGTAAGTTAGACGCCAGACCGTTGGGCAGCACTGACCACACGCTCTATCCCACGAAGAAGTCGAAACGTTGTACTCAATGGAACGACTCTCGAGCTGTAGTAATCCCTCTACGGTGGGGGGGGAGGTGCCGGGCATTGTCATCGCATGGGAAGTCAGACCAGGATAGAAGCAGTAAACGCGAGAGGGCGAAAAGGCATTCATCTGGGAAGTAAGGTCTGAAGAGACCAGTGGATGCAATGCCGAAGAGGATTGGCTTTCAAACACTCTGACACGGTATTCCTGTTAAAAGGTTAGAGAGCCGCTTAGTCATAGGATAACGCTCACGTTGAGGATAGAAAAAGATAAGACACATTTCGTCGAATGCAGCTTGTTCGAACGTGGCTTTTCTAACTGTTTATCGGTAGCGTCCCGCGCTTTTGCCCATTCAATCCATACGGGTAGTGTGTCCCGAGGGGACATGATGTCGAGATTTGTCGGTGGGTGCTCTAAAAAACCTAAGGGGTTGACTACGGACAATGCCACAGATCCGGCAACCAAAGCCTGCGTCGACCCAAGCACATCAAAGAACACTTGCAAGTCCTGGGCCTTCATGAACCTCGATAGAGCAAATCTGATGCGGCCCCGAACGATTGATTGACAACTAATGGCGAATTGAGAATTGACGTGGCTCAAAGGCACTATTGTCGCGAAGGTTGGATTATCCGTTACATATTCTGCAACTATGTGCTGAGCGATTTCAGCTGGCATATCCCAACGACGATGTCGAGTTACTCGACCTCGCGAGCCTGAAAGAAACATGGTAAGTTGTTGAAATTTTGACGTGGCGGCAAATATAAAGAGCGGAAAATATACCTACGATGGGCAAACCTTAGTACACACCCACAGTCATGGCCAAGGTCTATTTTGCTCGTCAAAACAATGATTTACTCCAAGAAGCTCGTCTGGTACGTATATCGTCACTTCCAAAATCAAACTAATGATATCCTAGAGGGGTTCTCTCACCTATTGGGGTTTGCTCTATTCAGCGCCGTGCGATAAGCCGATGAAGGTGCGCATTCCACTCCATTTAGGAAGGAGCGTTGCAAGAACTCTGGACGATCTCAATACGGACCGCTGGATTCCCGTCGGCGCGCACTACAAACAATGTCTTGACCTAGAGGACAATCGTGTTTTGGTCGAGTCGGGCTCATCAACCGAACCCACATTTACAGTATATTACTGCAATCGGGTGAGTACAATCTTTTGTTGTCAAATTCAGGCTAGTAATCGATACACAGAGAACCCCGCCCGCATACTATCGCCCTGTTAATGAACTGATTTCGGGAATAGCAAACCGAAAGTGGTACGGAAACGTATTGGTTGTTTGCCACGGCAAACGTAACGCTGTCGCAGGTGTGCAGACGACGCATATCGAATATATTACGGAACAAATCAAACTGTACGTGTTACTTTCACGAAATTAAACGTTGCCTGATGAAACATAGGTTATTGAATGAAGGCGGCCTAACTCAGTTGAAGTAGCAAGGAAGACAATTTAACACCGTTGTATTATATCACACGCGCTCGATTAGAATTACAGAGCACTTGCTGCCTCAGTCATTCAACGATATACGGAGTCCGCCGCAGCGGGTTGCTCAATTTGTTCCGGCGACCGAGTCCGGGACTCCGTCATAGAAGAAAAAAAAGTAAATTGATAGAACTGAATTGAAAGAAAAAAAAATTCATTGATCGAAAAAACAACACAAAAAAAAAAAAAATTGAACCGAAGAAGAGGGGGGAAAAGAACAAGCGGAAGACGCTGAACAGCGTACAAAAAAAAATGTAGCAACTGAGTTACCTCAAGGAAAGAATGTCGGCCTCCTCCACGGACACGGTAAGAGCTATCATCAGTCTGATGCAAGAATTGATAATCTGTACCAGTACCCGAGTATATCGGATTCCGAAAAGAGTAGTACCGAGAGCTCTTGTACAAGTTATTCGGGTGATAGCATGCCAGAGTTACAGTCTCTGAGCGACCCGAGTGACAGTGACAGGGAGGGCTCCAGTTCAGATGTTGTTGAACAACGAAGACCCAACCACGAAAACTCGGCAGTTGAAGTATCAAATGAAAGGCGACAAGTGAGTTCACGACTAGTCAAGTGTCCAATCAAAAAATTAAACATGAACAGACACGAATGCAAAGAGTCAACTATTTGCGGACCCTCGCCTGGTATCGCACACAGTATCTTATTATGGACGAGGCGCCAGTGATGACGGAGAGTCAGTTGCGAGGTGTGATGCACAGTCATCCGCCGAATTTGACCACACAATTACCACAACATGACGGTGAGGAGATGGCATAATGTAGATGGGAGCCAGGGAGTTAGCAAGTGAGAGACCCGCCATTCGAGCACTGCCCATTGTGATCTAAATTGTGAGGCTACCATAGTATATTTACTGTATGTGTTTGGTATGTGTTCACTGGCTCGCGTACGCAATGATAAATAGAAAGTCCAATTGTCCACTCACGCTCGCCTGCGCAAACGGACATCGCCGGTAGTAAGAATGTTCGCTCGCTCGCGTGCGCCATCTGCATCCGTAGAAAGTTTGTACATGCTTGCCCGCTCGCGTGCGCGATATGCAAGAAAAGAGCCCCATGGCCCCTGGAAAGTTTGTTTGTTCATGCTTGCTCGCTCGCGTGCGCGATATGCAAGAAAAGAGCCCCATGGCCCCTGGAAAGTTTGTTTGTTCATGCTTGCTCGCTCGCGTGCGCGATATGCAAGAAAAGAACCCCATGGCCGCTGGGTAGTTTGTTTGTACCTGTTTGGTATTTATGACCCTGGGAGACCTTGACAAGCAAGGTGACTAACCGGACCACGGTTACGGTTAGGATCGGTTAGGTAATTTTTGCGGTCCTGATCGGTTACGGTTCGGTCCAGTCTCGGTTATTTTCCGGTTAACTAACCTAACTTCCAAACACTAGAAATCGACGAAAATCTCTCGTTATTTCCTGACTACTTCCCCAGAAAACCTGGATTCCGGCAGTGTTTCCCCCAATTTCCTCGATTAGACCGGTGTCAGTGGATTTGAAGGAAATTCTTGGGACATTCATAATGTATTTCACTGTCATTTCCCTCACATTCACAATGTATTTCAATGACATTTCCCTCACATTCACTAATTTTGGAACCATTTCATTCATGGGATTCATAAATTATATTGGCGATATATATTGCTTTATGAAATGATTAAGATGTCCTGCATCCAATCAGCATTCCACCTGCGATACACTTGCGTTCAGCTTGCGGTACACTTGAGATACATCTGCGACACACCTGCGACACACTTAAGATACACTTGCGAGAGTTAGTATCCATTGCGAGACTTGCGTACACTTGCATGCAACTTGCGCATCACTTGTGATACACCTGCGAGACCAATGCGAGACACACTAGGACCCCTGAAAGTTCACTAAAATGCCTGATCTAAGCTTATTTAGGCCATTTTGAGCAAAGATGGCACACTGGTGGACTACTTTAACATAAAATTGTGTTGGCACGCCAATGAAAGATGAGCGCATACATGAAAGGAAGCCATAGGCGGAGTTTTGGAGAAAAAGACTGAGAAATGGGCCCTCAGGGTTCATTTTACTGTCGAGATAGAAAATTCACTTTTGGACGGAATTCGGACAAAAATTGGCGTTTTTCATCAGATTTTTTTTTTCAAAAAGGACACCCAACCATCCAAATCATGCACAGATGAACCCAAAATTCGTGGGAAATTTTTCACCACCAAGGATCAGGCATCTATGTGAGATTTCAGGGGTCCTGACACACTTGCAAGAATGTGCGCACAAAATGGATGTTTGCGAGCCACCTGTGGTCAACTTGCAATTAGGCATGAGTAAATAAGAACTAAAACTCTTGTGTAGAAAATTGAACACTGTATTCCGGACTTGTATCGCATAGCAGTGGCCACATTTTAAGTTCTCAAGTGAAGATTACATTTCTTTAGTTTAAATTTACTAAGTACTATGTTGTAGTAGACTATCTGCATGACACCTGCGATACCTGCGATCCTTTTTGATTATCTGCGAGACACTTGCGGTCACCTGCGAACGGGTGGTCCGCAAGTGACCGCAAGTGGCACGCAGATTTCTATATGCCCTCGA